AAACATTTCATCCCCCAACAAGGTAAAATCATCAGTCCTAGTGTGTGTGGGTTTTCCTCCTTTTTTATATACAGTGGCTTGCCCTGCCAGTGTTGGTGGGGATGTGGTTTTCTCCTTGGTAGTTCCTTGATTAGGGTACTGTTTTCTGCTTGGTTGTTTGTTTGTCTTCTAGGTAGTTCCTTGATTGGAGTATTGTTTTCTGCTTGATTGTTTGTCTGGTGTTAATTTCTGCTTATCTGAGTGTAGGCTGCTGGAGAGGATATGTTCTGGTCTTTTTGTTTCCTTCAGGTGATATACAGTAAGAACAGGGAGCAGAAGTAAAGTCCTATAAGACTTTGTTAGAAAGATGTAAGTAACTCAAAAAGAACTTTGGGAAGCTTGCAATGAAGTGATAAATAAAAATACTGATTATGTCAATTTGATCCATGGCTTGTTCAGATGCCAGCTGCATTTGCTCAAAAGAATCCTTAGATATTTCATTTGAATATTGAATATTCATTCATTTGAATATTGAAATTATCCTAAGCTTCAGAATTAGTTAATTCTGGGCTAGTCACAAAAACTTTCCAGAGGGACTTACCAATCCTGGACAGCATTGAAGGACTCCTCATTGGTGATGTCATACATCAAAATGAAACCCATTGCCCCTCGATAATAGGCAGTGGTAATAGTCCGGTATCGTTCCTGACCTGCTGTATCCTAAGGAAAACAAAGAATGGCTTTAAAGTACTTTTTTGTAGCACTTAGAAGTATGCTCTAAATGTTTTCCACTAACTGTGGTCAGATATTACAGGAAGAGTATTTCCCGCAATGGTACAGGTAGTCCTCAACATACAACCATTTGTTTAGCAATCATTCGAAGTTATGACGGTGCTGAACGAATAGTGGTTATGTCCTCGGAGTTACGGCCATTCTAGCAACACTGTGGTCACGTGATTGCGATCTAGGCACTTGGCAACCCATTAGCACTTATGACCAGTTGCCAAGCACCCTGTGATCACATGATCGCCATTTACAATCTTCCCTGCCAGTTTCCCCAGAAAGTCAATGCGGAAGCTGGCAAGGAAAGTTGCAGGTCACTGAGGTAAGTCTCCTCCACCTGCGCACCCTCCCCAGCCCCTCTGTGCTCGTGCATGCTGGCCACTCGTGCACCCTTCCTGACTTGCACGGCACCTCTTGTGCACCTTCTCCCCATCCCTCCCTGGCACCACCTCACTCCCTCCCCCACCCAGCAGCAGCCACTTGCCTGCCTGCCAGCCTGGGACTTGCAACTTCCTGCCGGGTTCCTCACTGACTTTGGTTGTGGGAAGCCAGCAGGAAGTTGCCTCGCCTAACGACCATGGGATTCAGTTAACAATGGCAACCAAGATTGTAGGGATTGCCATCACTAAGCAGTGCGGTTGCACTTTATGACCACATTGCTTAGAGATGGAAATTCTGGTCCCAAATGTCATCGTAAGTTGAGGACTACCTGAGGGACCATCTCATCCCCATTACATCAACCCATCCCACCTGGTCAGACAGAGAGGGCATGTTGCGGACCCCATCAGCGAGAGAATGTTGGCTGTTGGGGCCCAGGAAGAGAGCCTTCTCTGCCATTGCCCCCGCCCTTTGGAATATCTTCCCCCCAGAGGTGCGGCGGGCCCTTACGCTCCTGGCTTTCCAAAAAGGATTAAAGACCTGGCTCTGCCAGTGTGGGGCGACATGAACTCTAACTGTCCCTGGGGTGGTTAGTGCCCTGATGACGCTCCCCGAGTTATTTGCTAACTCTCCATCTTTCTTGGAAGCTATTTATTATTAGGATTGTTTTTTATATTGTATTTTAATGAATTTTATCTCTGCTGTAAACTGCCCAGAGTCGTTTCAATGAGATGGGCGCTCACAAATTTGATATATAAATAAAAATAAAATAAATAAAACCCAAGCATTTGAGGCTTTAACGCTTGCTGGTCCTTTATGTAATTTCTGTCTTTATTTCTTTCTCTCTCTTTACATTTTCAACTCTAGAGGAACTTCCATATTCGTGATAGGGATGGACAATCTTTCTGTGACTGGGGTTGAATTTTAATTCTTAAAAAAAAAGAGAAAGTATTCAGCCTCCAAGGCTACAGGAGACATTATCCACTACCAGTGAGGTCATGCAGAGTGGGAATCCCAAAATTTCCAGCCCACATTAGGAGAGTTTGGGGAGGTTTTGTTGCTTAAAGGAGAAAAATGGGTGCCTTATAGAGGCTGAAAACACTTTATTCCTTATTTTAACTAAAAATAGGGGAAATTGCATTTCAGTTATGCTGCCCAATGTTGGCACTACTGGATGCTGTAAAAAAGATGCTGGGTGCCTCTTATGCATCTCATGGATTGCCACAGCTGTTCTAAAAAGACTTCAGTAAATTAGTTCTATTTTAAAACCAACTTCAGCAATTTGTTGTACCTTTTAAGAAAATGTACTTTGGTTTCATAATAAACTGATTTTATAATGAGGAGACCTGTATCAAATGTCTTCATGGCCAAAATATGTTTTTGTTTTCCAAAAAAGATACTTAAAAAAAATTATTTAAATATATTAGCTATCCAACTCCAATGGACTCAAAGCCTTCAGAGTATTTTTGTAATCCTTGTAACAGCATTGAAAGGTAATCCAATAGTATCTAACATGAAACTTCCTTGCACAAAACAGAGCCACTAGTCTAATTATATTTGCATTGTTTAATGCGGCTGGCAGGGTCTTTGACCTCTTCGAGGTCTTTCCCAGCCATGCCAGGGATCACACTCCGATTGTGATGGAATGTATCCACGAGGAGGAGAGTGATGTGGGAGAAAGGAGATAAGAGACAATGCAATCCTCAAGGGGAGTGTGGGAAGTGAAAGAGGGTCAGGATAGCCACTCCCTAGAATCTCTCAGGGTATATCCACTAGTTGCTGTAGTATAGATTTAGTTTGGCAAGATTCTGTCAACAAGGTGTAAGCAAATAAAGGAACTATACTCAACTGGACTGTTTCACCCTTGTTCTTGGGCTGGGCTTGACACCGATCCCTCTGCTGGCAATATTTTCTCCCAGAAAGCAATTATTTTGGTAAACCTTGCAAGCAATCCTATAAGGCAAGACAGCTGCCTCCTTACCCAGATCTGCAGTTTAATGCGCTTATCATTGCGATAGATGGTTTTCACTTTGAAGTCAATGCCAACGGTGCTGACAAAAGCTGGAGTGAAGGAGTCATCAGCGTACCGGAAAAGGAAGGAGGTCTTTCCAACACTGCTATTGCCGATGATCAGGATCTTGAACATGTAGTCAAAGTTCTGGTCTGAGGACTCCTTCTGGCCATAGCGAGCATCTGTTGCAGAAGCCATCTGGGGAGAGGTGGGGGAGGCAATGGGCTGTAGGGGAAGGACAGGACACAAAACACCACCCAGCTTGCAGTTGGGGGTGTCTGATGGTCCTTTGCTCAATGAGGTGGGAAAGAAAACTTCAACAGAAGGCCACCCACACAACCCTTTAAGATTAATGACAGATTCCCAAGACTCCTTTAAGGTTATTTTCTTCTCAATTTATTTACCAAGCTATTTTACAGAGTTTGGTTGAACTGAAGCCCACCACAGACTTTTAAAAAAATTTAAAAGAAAAATCATTGCTAGTTTTCTTTAAGTGTTTTTGATAAGTATCATCCACATTCAACCAGGTTATTTATCTGTCTTGTTATTTCTACATATACAGACACACCAACATGTTTAAGATTGTAGTGTAGATTGAGCTAAAATTGATCTACAGTAGTGCAAAGGCATGTGGGAGACGGATCAAAACCTGCAAGATGGTGGTCGAGGCGTTATGATCCAAGCTAAAGCAGAGGGGGTTGGATCACAATGCCATCCCTGCCATCTGGCGTATTTTGACATTACTCATCAAACGTATAACGTTTTAAAATAATTAGGGAATTTTACAAATAGGATAAACTAACAAACTATGCAGGGAATTATCTTTTCCACTATGAACTATTGATAAAATGGTTTCATTTTTCATTTACTGAACAGTTTATTGCAATTTGATTTATTAAATAGTCTTCCTTCCTTCCTTCCTTCCTTCCTTCCTTCCTTCCTTCCTTCCTTCCTTCCTTCCTTCCTTCCTTCCCTCCCCTCCCCTCCCCTCCCCTCCTTAATTTTTACATATTGCATAACATACAACACAGCTCTCTGCATGGCTACCTGGAACCAAGAACCAAGTTTCAGAGTTCAGATAATTGGTTCATAAAACAATCTACAAAGATCTTTGTAATTCAGAGTTTATATTAAAAAAAAAAAGCTATTCTCATCATTTTTCTTTGGTTCTCTCATGGTATCCGATTAAACAGTTATTACATTTACACTCCATGCTCCACCAGGAAGACCATACCCCAGGAATTTCTCATGTAAGTATGGTCTAGATCTTTCTCAACCATGACAACTTTAAAATGTGTGGGCTTCAACTCCCAGAATTCCACAGACAGCATGTTAAAGTACACACATCTTAAAGATGCCAATGTCGAGAAACACTTTTCTAGACCCAGGCCTACTCAGCTTTGGCAAGCTGGCTATGTCATGTCATACTGTATGTACACACCCCATATTTTCTTATAATGTAACATATACAGTGTATCATGAAGGGCAAATATATAAGGAAGTTTGTATTATAAATCAACTTTCCCTAATATAGGCTACCTCCAAAAAGTGTGGACTGCAATTCCTAGAATTCATATCAATAGCCATGCTGCTGGGGAGTTCTGGGAGTTGGTCTACACCTCTGAAAAGATGTCCAGGTCTTTGGGATAGACCTTAAACAATATTTACAGTAGAGGGCCCAGATTAATCTACCCCACAAGGATGGATTTGAAAATATAACTGATAGTACAGGGTGGAGGCAACTCCAATCTCACCTTCTGAAGAAAGTTGTGTGTGTGTATAAATGTTAATGTGGGTCCATCACAATTTATTGCAATCAAGGAACAGAAACCAGGATGGAAATACTGAGGTGAACATGGAATTTGTATCATTATAATACTATATCCTTACATAATTTGCATTTGAGATTTTTGTTTGCTGATTTTTTTTCTTTTTATTGTGTGTGCAAGATACATTAGGGGCCTGGATCTTATAGGATGAAAAGATTTCAAATATTGTTTTATGAATAAATCAATATCTCTATGACCTATACAAACACTTGCTCTGTGTGAGGACAGAGACTGAAGAGGCAATTAAGCTAACTGGATATATCATCTCTATGGGGTGAATAACTATTTTTCCCTATTTCGCTTGGAGATGGTTTGCCTCATCCGTCACTTTGCACCAGGTCTCCTCCTTCTTAACACCATGCTACACCCCAGAACTTTCCTCAAAATGCAGAGAAGAATTGCATCCACCTCTTCTTTGGACGTTGATTTTACCCTTCAAAGAATAATTTTCTTTCAAAAGGGAAAGCTATCTGGGTTCTTCCCCAGCCCACCAAGGACAATCAGTTTAGTACTATGGCGGGCAACTTTTCAGCAGTCAGGGTTGCAACTCAGCTCCCTGATTGGGTAGTCAACAGTTCCCATTTCCACACTAATCTCTCCTGCCCCCAAGTAGCCCGAATGGGTAAAAATCATGGTAATGAATTTTGGTGGCAAAATGGTAATGCTTTGGAGGGCTGGTTTCAGGCTGCTATGGGAGTCCCTGGGGGTTAAGAGAAGAAATGTGAGTGATTTCTCTTTGAGAGACCTCCTGCTCTCATTCCAACCCCAATTTTTTTGGGGGGGGAAAAAGAAATTATGGCTGTTTTCGCTGCTGAACTGTGATGGTATTGGATCTGCATTCGGTCCACGAGTTATTCAAACTGATTCAGCTCATCAATTGGAACTTAATACTTAAATCAGTTAAGGAGCATTGCTTTCCTCAACTGGTGCCATCATCGCTGAAGAAGTAGATTCCATCTTGGCACTGGGCCTTCTGGGTAGCAGGACTCTCTTATGGAGCTCCCACCTCTGAGAGGCCAAGCAGCCTCACAAACAGGAAATTTCCAGAGAGCACCAACAACTTTTTTTTTTGGTTTCAGAAAGCTTGTAGAGCAGATTATTTAAAAATGCACTGTATGGTTTTTATTCATTATTTAAAAGCATGCTGACTGCTATTATTAAACTGAATGCGTTTTGTTTCTGTTTGATCTGTACAGTGGAGACAATGGGTTGGCAATATTCTTATCACTCAGCAATTGTTCCAATCTTGTTCACAGAAAAAGATACAAAATTGAAAACAACATAAGCTTCTTGCCCTTGTAACAAGTACCCAACACCGAAAGAGCTGAAGGCTTGCTTTCCATGGGAACAACTGACTGGGCTGTGGCCACTGTGGCAAACAGAATGCCAGATGTGATGGGTTCATTCTGATCCACCTAGAGAGCTTTTCTTACATGTCTGCTGACAGTTGCAGAGGTCTACACTTATCACAGTTCCTTGGGGAGGAAAAAAAAATCTTTAAATCACTTGTTCTTACATACTGTACCATAGATATGCCCACCTTCCCTTTTCACCATAGCAGACACCCTGCCCAATACAATCTTTCAGCTAATTAAACAGCCTGGGGTTTACTTGCATTACACAAAGTGAACGATGGGGTTGAAATCATTCTAAGGGACCCAAAGAGGATTTAGCTGGATTCCTCTCACCTCTTCTTAGAGGACAATCTCAAATACGGCTTTTAGCCAGGACTAAACAGCCTCAATTTTGTGCAGCAGGGAACTGCTAAGCAGTGTTTGGTGACAGCAGTTGGAAAGCGGTCCCCATTTTGGCTCTGAGTCAGCTGCGTTTTTGCCCACTGAGCTCTTTAACAGATGCTCCAAGGATGAATGCCTCATCCTGGCTTTGAGTGTTCAATGATGAAAAAGCCAAACCCAAAAGGATAATGAGAAAATGAGATTAAAGAGGAGATCAGAACTCAGGCCTTCCTATCGATCAACACAAAACTGAATTTTAGAGGTATTTTCTCTCTGTCTTATTTCATCAAAAGGAAAAAAAAAATGTGGGAGGCTCAAGTATAGCGAAGTAGCCCTAAGATTGCTGGCCGCTCATTTTGCCCTTTGCCTGGTCACGGGTGACATAAAACTGAGTCTAATCACCAGATGGGGAAGATTTTTGGAAATTAAAAGGGTTTGGATACTCCTCTCTGTCACCTTGGCTCACTGTTAAGTTTTAATCTGGTGGTAAATTTTTCAGTGCAGGTCTCTCTCTCTCTCTCTCCCCTTCTGTTTGTTACATACAGTGCAATGCAGGGGTGACTCAGGGTATGGTAAAAAAAAAAAAGGTGTGACACACATAAAAAGCAGATGGAGCTATGATTGTACCATTGTGGCTACCATCTTGACTTCTTTTTAACCATACCCTGTGTGTGTTGGTCTCTATAACACAGAGGGTCTACATGCCTAGCTTTTCAATGAAGTCTCATTAGAGTGTTTTTTAAAAGCATTTTAAAAGGGAGTCTTAGTTTTGACTTCTGCAGAATGGAAGGTAGACTGCTCCTAAATATGCACATGGGATGTTCTATTCCTGAACAGCTGTTATTGTTTCTGGGTGGGTTGAATTCAGTCCTGCGTGGCCTACTTTTTATGAAATTGGAATTCTGGTATTCCACTAATGGGTGCCAAATTGGCAAACATCCTTATGCATTAAAGAAGACTGCAATTCTTTGCTTATCTGGCTGGAAGTAAGTCCCAAATAAATTAGTTTTGGTTTTAGCATGTTCTATAAACATAGCCACTTTGGTTTGCAAACCACAGTTCATGGCTTGTAATGAAACTTGACTAACTGTGATTTATCCAACAAGCTAATTTAATAAACTGGCTTAGTCCAATGTGAGAACTCACCTTGCATAAGGTAGCTTCACATGGTCCTGTTTAAATCACTTTTTTATTATAACCATAGGAATTACATTAGAGTTTCTATTTTTAGAACAGCCCTAGCTCAACGATGCTGCACATGCTTAGGTGCAAAAAGCCTGAAATCATTCTCCGGATGGAGCTGGCTAAGGCTCTTTTCTGCCTGAAAATCAAAAGAACTTGTGCTGCCAATCAGTAAATACTAAATTACATGGCACATGGCCAGATTCAATGGAAAAGACTGGGTTCACGTTGGGCTCAATCATACTTTGCTTAACATGACTATATAAAAAGCAACAGCCAATTGGGTTCATGCTAAACAAATGACATTATGACTTAGTGTAATGTGAGAGTCCAGCCATGTCCCATGTTTCAAATCTCCTCAATTTACAGCCTGTAGTTATATGCACACACATACATGGGTACAATCACACAGGTTCATCTGCAGGGGGAGAGATAAAAGAGTCAAGATGGCGATTATGACCGTGCAATCGAAGTCCTGCACCTTTTTTACATGCATCGTGACTGCCATCTTGACTTTTCTGTTCCCCTCCCCCACAGATGACCCTGCACTCACCAAACACACACACACCCCGTTGCTCCTCAACATTAGCAGTACTCTTCTGTTGTTTTCTGCTTGGGGCATATGAAAAAGCTGAGGAGGGTAAAAAAGAAAGGCAGTACAGAGGAAGAAAACTGACTCCCTTTTACCTGCCTTGCCACATACCTGCTCCAGAGTTCCAAGCCACAAAATAAGAAACCCAGAATGCATAAAATGTGAAGGATCTTTGGTGCAGAATCAGATAGGCCATTGAAATGCAGATGCTGTTTGTCCATACTGCATTGTTTTCAACAGAATATGCATGTCCCTTTAGAGAGTTCACTGTACATCCAAAAAAAAAAAAAAGTGCAAAGAAATGCAGCAATCTCATTTCTAGGCTTATGGCCTGAATCCAGGCCACCAAGAGATACCCTCAACAATGTGTGTTTCCCTGTGGTTGTATTCATCAACATATTTCATGAGGCAAAGTCAAGGTCTAGCAGATACATTCATACAACATGCTAAGCTTGGTGTTAAGTTGGTTAGATATTTTGTGGTTTAGTATGTTATGCAAGGGCCTCAGCAGGTGGCAGGACCTAGCAGACCTCAGCTGATCTAGAAAGCTAAGCAGGGTTGGTTCTGGTTAATATTTGAATGGGGAATCATCTTGAACACCCAAGTCTGTAGGCTAGATTGGGATTTGAAGACAATTTTACTATGTTGGGTCAACCCAATTCTTTGTTTAGTTTATGGTTCAGTATATTGTGCAAATCCAGCAAATTGCTAACCAAGTAAGCATGCTGCATGAACACAGCCAGTGGGACCCTCCTTATATTGGGGTAAGGAAGCAGGTTGGATGGAATCCTGAAGACAGCATATAGGCCAATGCAGATATGCAGCTCTTGGTTCTCCCAAACAGAAAAGCATCAAAACATTTTGAATTTGCTTAGGTATCTGGTACAAATCTATCTCTGAAGGTTTTTAGATGTCATCTCCACCTTAAACAAAATGTCAGATCTAGTTCTCATTACAGTTGCAGGGTCTCCTTTGAAAGCTGATTAGTCTGCAACAGGCCCCAATTTTCAGGACTACTGAGCCCTGTTGGATCTTCCAGGAGGCCATAAAGCATAAAAACACAAGAAGAGCCCAAGATGAGGCCAACAGCTCATCTACATGCAATGCTCACAGCACAGGCAGGAAAGTGATAGAATGCCTTATATAAGGAGAGCTATCTATGATTCAGGAATTACTAAATAGTCATCAACCCTAGTAGCTACTAATAATCCCCAAAATGAATTGGCTTGCATAATAGTACCATGGCCTCATCAGCTGGACTTTTAGAAATTGGCAGAAGAGCATGGCATCATGTCTGAGTAACATTTTCAAAATGGGTTTCCTAATATATAGGAATACCTGTCTATAGCTAATATCCCCCAGTTGAATTTAATTTCCTTTCTTCCTTAAAGGCCAAGAGCCCTACTAGATAAGATCAAGATGGACTGGCAGCTCTTCCATCCCACTTTTATGCATGTGCCTCAAAGGAGAAAATGCCTAAGCCAGCCGTGAAAGTAATAACTCCTAAAGGTATTTATTACCAGCACCCAATGTTTTGAGGGAGATTACCCTAATCCAGGAATATACTTGATTCATACTGTGTAAGATACTGCTAATTTGAGCCAAATCCCTCCAGCCCAACATCATATCCAATACCGGCCAACCAGTCACCCCTTTGGGAAATGTTTTGCTGATTATCACAAACATGGAAGTTCCATTTCACTAGTGCAATTAACAACAGGCCTCTTCTCTCCCTTTCATAAGTCCGATCCAGTTTTAAGGCTGTCTAAGCAAATTATCATCATCATAGCTTATGGCAACGCAAATGGAAGCTGAGCATGCCGATGTCAAGCTACTTAGTCTTTTCAATATCAATCACTGGTTTGCCAGGACATCCAAGTGCTATGTTATCCAACAGGACCCTTTGGCCTGGCCTTATCTGTCTACGCAATGCCTGACATCATGTGCTCAAGATGCAAATGCCTTCCTATTAAATCAAATGCTCCTGTTATTGAATATTTAAAGCGGCCTGTCTGGCTACCCACACCACCTTTTCGCCCTTGGTAATGGGTAACTGTACCCATAGGCAGTGGAATGATTAGGAAGATTTGCTAAGCCAACAGGAATAGCTGAGTGCAGCCTGGCCTGGGCAAGTTGCTCCCATTCTGATGCAAAAAAGATAGTGATGCATCCTTCCCCCACCGTCTTGATTTTAAAAAATCAACCCCCAATGCTGCATTGCATACAAGAGGCTGAGCCCCAGAAAAGCAGAGTTGGTCTGATAACTGTGGTGATCAAAAGAGATTAAAAATATGTGTCACTGAATTGCATGTTTACTGAACTACATTCTGCTTTTTTTTCCAGCTACAATGTAGACCCTTTTACATAGACCACAGATGGCAACCTTCTTTCTCAATAAAATTTGGAATTAAAGTGCTCAATTGCAGAGCAATTGAAGGTGCATCTTGAAAGGAAAAGTTCACAAGTGCCTATCCCCAAAGCTAGATCAGGTATTTGGGACAGGAAAAATTAAGAAAAAGCCTCCCTAGTCAACAACATTCAAAAGCTGGTCTTGCTAGCATATTTGCATCTCCTCCACAGCAAATCCAGAAGCGGCCTGGAAGAGTCTTCGAACAAGCTTTTTCTGGAGGGGAAGAGCTGTTGTTACAAAATGCCTCCTCTTTTTTTCTCTCTCCCCATTCCATCTCTTGCAAGAAAGGCCCACCCAAATTAGGGTCAGCAGTTAAGCCGGAACTGGCTTCCTTTGCAACCTGCGATGCTGGCTCCCTCCCTCCCATCCCATTCGTTCTCTCTTCCACAGCCTCCTGTTTACCATCTGCATCACTGAAACCTCCTTTGACGAGGCCAGGAATTAATGCTCATCTCCCGTTTCTTTCCTTGCCATCTATTTTTTGTACAAAATATATTTCCCTTTGGAACATTCCTTCCACAGCAATGCATTCATTGATTTAAGAACACTCCCCCTATAAACCAGGATTCCTCCCCATCAATTTTCTACACCCCTCCCCCATTTCTCATACATGTGTCAAATGAAGGTTAACACCCCCCCGCCGCCCTATTTCAAAGCAATGCCAACGTCGGAGCCAACCGAATGAAAAGATGCAATACGGATGGAGTGTCATCTATGCAGGTTAGAAAAAGATAAGAAAGGGGGGGGATTGCACCGGGCACGCACTCACCCCGTGAATGCGCTTCTGGTCTCCCAGCTAATGCAGCAGCAGCAGCGGCGGCGGCAGTGGCGCGAGGCAACAGCACCTGCCTGCAGAACCCTGGCCGACGTCACCAGCGTTCCGAAGGGGGCGGAGATATGCAGATAAAGGAGTAACGTGACTTCGCGAAGGGCCATCCCCTTTTTCCTGGTTCTCCTGCGGGCGGGCCTGAGGAGTTGTCTTTCCGGGGATTGGCGACACATCGATGATTGATTAGGCTGTAATCTTTTACCTCACGGAGGGATTTACTTCCGAGTAAGACTGCGTTGCTAAATCCTCTGTGGATCAGATTTCGTTTTTCCGCTTTGCTCTCTCACCGAAATACATCCTGCCGTTATTTTATCTGGCTCCCTCTTTCCTTTGGAAGATGCTACCTGATGACCCTGAGGGGCATTTATTTCCTTAGTATTTATTTTCTGTATTTACTTCTTTATAGTTTCCTTTGTATGAAAGGAAAAATTAACATTTTATTTATTAACTACCCTCAGTAAAATATGCTGTACAAGAGGGATATAAATCCTGAGCATTGTTCTGTGAATATACAAATAAAATATGAGGAAGTTCCTGATACTATTACCTCATGTCTTCATCGCGAAAACATGGCCAGAAGCCCCAAAACACACAAAAACTCTAGTGAGAGGCCAGTTATGTAAAGCAGGACACGAATATTTGCTGCCATATTTACTGCAATAGCTTGTTTTATAAGTTTTGATCATATTAATAATTAATTGGGAGACTTCTTGAAGGGAAAAACAACAGCAACTTGTTAATGTATATTAATTGTATATAATAAAAATATTATAGATTGTTCAGTAGGTTTGTCTATAGTGTTATTACCAACGGAGATTTTTAAGATGAAAGCAAGCTTGCATATAATTGCTCATTACAATGTTTGCAAAAGGCAAAACAAAATTCAGCAACAACAGTAACTTTACTATGGGTTGTACAAATTTCATATGCACTTGCTGTAAGACACAGGCTTGGGACTTACCTCAAGCTGACTGTTTGCAGGGTTGGGGGAGGTCATAAAAATGTAGGAGTGAGCCATTTTTTAAATTGCATTTTACCTCTTGGAAAGTGTGATGTTTAATCTGAAGGGAAAGCATCTTGGACTGTTTTCTGATACTAGGTCATATGTTTGCTACATTAGAAGGCTGAATATTCGTCAGTATTTTCTATCAGAGGACTGCAATCAATAATGGCAGCCCAGGTTCCAGGATATAATAATATCATTTTTAAATTTAAAATATATGTTTGGCTTTTAAGACAGGATAAACATGACCAGGAGATCCTTTTGAAAATCAGTGTTGATAACACTTCAGTCATAAGCACATGATTCTCCAGTGAATATCAGTGATAGAATTAGTGAGACTTAAGGCAACCACAGCTGGACTGCATTACAGTATCCGGATTAGGCACTAGATGGTAGCAAGGATTTTACAGTTTCCTGTATCTCTTTGCTGTGATCTACTGGTCATCCAAATTTCTGCACTCCAGAATTTACACCCCTACAGTGGCTTATTCACTTGTGTTTTATAGAAGAATCAAGAAAACACCTCCAATGTAATCCCTCTATGTTTTTTCTAGTGTCATTCCCATCTTTTTCTTACTACTGAAATAATAGTGAAATTACACTTAAAGAATGTTACATCAAGACACTTCTATAACATTATGGTGTATTTTCCATTTACTGTCATTTTAGCATTGTGTGTGTGTGTGCCTTCAAATCACTGTTGACTCCTGGTAACTGCCTGGGCAAGTCCCTGCAATTTTCTTGGCAAGGTTTTTCAGGAATGGGTTGCCATTGCCTCCTTCCTAGGGCTGAGAGTGACTGGCCCAAGGTCACCCAGCTAGTTTGTGCCTTAAAATGGAACTAGTAGTACTCACAGTCTCCTAGTTTCTAGCCTTAACCACTACACCAAACCAAACCAAATTTTAGCAATAGGCCCAGGATTATAGTGACCATAAAAGTGTTTATGAGTCATTGTCATTGGAAGCCCAAGTACGAAATAAGAGAGCCAGTTTGGTCTAGTGGTTAAGGCATTAGGCTAGGAACCTGGAGACCCTGAGTTCTAGTCATGTCTTAGGCACGAAGCCAGCTAGGTGACCTTGGGCCAGTCACTTGAAGGCACAATTTTTTTTTTTAAAGTATAAAATAAACTGAAATTGAATTTTGACAAGATGAACACTTCGTGGGTAGGTGGTTCCCAGGGAGGAGATTTGGGAAATTTACTTGTTCTCAATGAGTTTGTGCTGCCTTATAAAGACAGTGCACAGTTTCAGGGAAGTTTCTAGACTCATCGTTGTTGGAAGTTCCTCTTATTAAGCCCTATTTCTATGCCCTTTCCTGGCCAGGTACTGTTGTCGATGCATAAGCTCAGATTAAAGGAATGCACTCTGTGTGGGGTTTCCCCTGTACATGGTCTTGAAGCTGCAGTTAGTGCAGAATGCAATGATCAGATTGTCGAATGGGGGCCTGGCCATGTACTTGATACACCCCAGTTGAAGCAACTGTACCAGCTGCAATTTACCTACCAAATCAAGTTCAAAGTTTTGTTCATGACACATTATGCTCTATGCAATTTGGGACTAGAATATCTGATGGACCATGCAGGTATTCACTGCAGACCTGTTTGATTGCTATGATCATCAGTGGGAGTTGTGTTCAATGTAATGACTATTCTTGCAACACACTTAGCCAGGACAGTTAAAAACCTAGCAGCTGCCTTCCTTTAGTTAGCTTTAACCTTGGTTAGGTTTTTTTGTGTGTCTGTATGTAGCTTAGAATGTTGTGTGAACTCAGCACATTTATTTAGTTGTGATTTAATATACTGTGTAATCCCAGAATAGTTTATTCAGAAAGAACATCTTTCTGTCTTGTGCAACTGGGGTCAAAATATCACAATTTCTCTGTGGTTATATAATCTATATCCTGAATGTGCGAGGCACTTAGTAGTACATTTTTGGGGTCGTGTTGAAGACCTAACTCTTTACTTAGCCCTTCCTTATATTTATTCATGCTATTTTATTTACAATCATTTATATATTGCCTATTCTAAAGACTCTGTGAGTCATTTGTCAGGTGAATTAATATTTATTGTTGCTACTTTCCTATTCCTTTACACTTTAGTGAATAGGTTTTATGTTTAAACTTGTTATTATTTGATGTTAATATTTTTTTATAAGCCTTTCCGAGATGCACATGTGTGGATTGTTGGGTAGAAATATAATATACTGTATAAATATGTGTGCATTTATCATTATAAAGTATGGACTGGGAGAAATTCATCTAGTCTGAACTTTATACAAACTTATACCAATTGAATGTATATGCAAATTATATGGGTTTTTTTGGTCTGAATTGGTGATGCAATTCACAACTCAAAAGATGTGCATAAAATGCATATATTACAAAAAGTACACACTAAAACACATGTTAATGAAAAGGACATAGACAAATGCATTGTATTAGGGAGAAAAATATTTACTAACATGCTCACACTAACAAATGTGTATAAAATGCATATAGTATGAGAAAAGTATTTGAAAATCCAAGCAGGTTTTTCTGCTGCTTTGAAAATGGGCCGAAACAATCATGGCCAGGAAAGTGAGAAAAACCAAAACCAACCCATCCATATCGTATGAAGTACCTGTAGTGCTATTTCTCCAGGAAAATACTGTAACTGGCAATCTTTGTGGCTATTTCCATTAATTATGCTACAAAAATGTTTTAAGCATCTAGGTACAGAAGACTAGAATTCAAATTTCCCTTCTATCATGTTTATGTTGTGTTATGAGGATATACCATTAGAAAACTTTTAAATGTTATTTGCTAAGACTTTCATTTTGTTGCTGCAAATGGCATTCTCTAAATTCTGTAAATATGTTCTGAGCTTTAATGGCTTTAGCTCATCTGCCTGGTAAGTCACTATCTACAAGGAAACCAAAGTAGCCCTAACCCCACTAGGTTGGCTAGGTCATAGTGAGAGGTACATACAGTATCTCCTAATAGTATAGGAAGTCAACTGCAGTTGACTATAAGTTTACTTGTAAACTTATTTACAGCAGAAGACTAAGAAATCTTTGGAGTGATGTGTCTCGACAGATACCCAAAGATTGCGTGTGACCATTAGATGGCATCGTAACACCACTTTTAAATATCTGAATGCTGATTAAAGTAAATTTTTAGTTTGATATAACTTAGAAAGAAAGAATGGGAACACCTCAAGCATACTTGCTTGTATAGCTCCCAAGCTAGCTGTGGGGCAGACAGATTGCAATGTTAGCAAAGTGCAGGAAACAAGGAAGAGATCCACCTCAAATGTTACACCCTGAAAGATATTCTGCAATCTCAGATGTGTTCCAAAATTGAATCATTGCTAAAGTCACTTGTAAATCCATTGCTATTACTCTCCCTATATTGACCTTTCACATTCTTTCCTTTTTCTTCACCTAAGCACCTTCACCGCTTAAGGAAAAATATGGCAAAAAATCATGTTTTGTATAGTTTTGATTACATCCATGGGTCTAAATGAAGGCATGTGTATGATCCCCATCTAAGCCCATGGGGTGTTTATGTACTGTGGGCTTTGCTAAATCTTATTTCCAATATCTTCCAGTTTTGATTTGAGTCTTGCTTGGCCATTTGATTATACAGTGCTCCCTTATAATTCCACCATGACATCTGTGAAAGGAACAAATGGAAGCTGGAGGGAAATGTAGTTGGTGGATCACTGTCATAATAAGTCCCCAAGAAGGCAAGAGTATTTTGTGAAACTAGGCAGATGTGTATGTATAAATCAAGAGTACTGAGGGACATACAAGAGACAGGCAAGGACAGATGAGAGATAAGCTTTATGCTTTGGGATTAAATATTTACATTATTTGGGAGTTAGGCTTGTCAGTGATAGATTTGCTGGAAGGAAAAAAGGACCTAGCTTGTGGGAAATAAGCAGACATTATTGTTTTTCCAGAGCTCCGCTCATTTGCACCTTGAAAATTTCACATGCTATCCCAGTTGATCCTCTACCCTTTCAAAATAATGTCCTTATGATATTAGAAAGTGTTGTTTGGGATGAGGAGTATATTAAGTCCTTTGCAGTTATAACAGTTGATCCTAATTTTCCTGAATCAGTTGGGTGAATGCCCTGACTCTTTTCATCCTACCTTGCTGCATTTTATACCTAAACTTTGATCAAGCATCACCATATAATCTCTCTCTCTTTCTCTTTGTTCTAATTTCTCCCCTCAGATTTACCTTTCTATTCTGGATTAACTCCCTTTACATTTCCATCCCCCATTTTCCACAGTCTACTTCTGTATTCAATCATTCCCCAGCTTGTTGGCAGTATCTCTTCTCTCCTATAGTCATCATTCCTAATAACAGATGCCGTGTTATTGTGATCTCTTTGGGACTGGGATTCGTTTTTCAAGTTCTGGAGATTTATAGCACAAATTAAAAAGCCAAAAACCATCATTTTAACACTGAAATACATTGTAAGGAAAAAGATGTTGCCAGAAAATACTTAATGTTGCAAGGAAAATCAGACAATCAGATAAAAGTGCTGATACGTTCTCTATGGTTATGACAATACTTATTTCACAAAGAAATAGTAACTCAATCTGCAGGGCCAGGCCCCAGTGGCAGCTCAGCAAACTTAAAGTGCATTGTGAAATATATGCGTATGGGTATACAAACAAACATCCAACATATACATAAATATACATTTGCACACACATAATGCAGCATTTTTGAGTGCAAATCACAGTTAAACCAATTGCTATCAATAAAATTTGCCTGAACCAACCATTTGTGAGGTTATTACACATCAAAATATTATTAAGCATAAAGCTACAAAAGTTTTTTTTTTTTTAAAGAACGAAAAATATTTGCCAAAAATAAATTAAAAGTGGCAGCCTTCCCAGTAGTAATGCATAACCCCCTCTCATAAGAGGTATATGGAAAGATAATGATGAGAGACAATTTCATTTTGGTGCATAGAATCATCCTCATTTGCACTCTCCCTGGATTTCTAATATTTAAATAGATGGAGATACAACCCTAGTCTTATATTCTGTCAGCCATTTAAGTTCCTCAGATCATAAGCTGGCCTTGCCAAAATTTTACAAACCAACCTTTAAATCTCAGTCTTCCATTCACAACTTTTATCTGCTACTTGCATTGGCTAATGATTCCCCAGTTTCAACCAACTCTGTCTCCCTTTTGCATTATTTCCCAGAGCAGTAAAAGCATAAGATGCATCACTTCGTCAGCAGATTAAGTCTTCTAGGGGAAAAAGAAAATCAATGGATAGAATACTATCTAGTTAGTATCTGGGATAGGATAGACCCTTTAAAGCATAGGGATGTGGAATAAGAGGGACTGAATGGATCTTGATTGAAATTACTGCCATGAGAAATGCCATTTTTTAGCAGCAAATTCTGTTTGTAACAAGCCTCCTTTGTGAACAATAAGATACATGGAGTGGAGATCCAGATAACCCAGATGGAGCAAAATAATAGATTTTTTTTAATATTGAAAACAGAAAGGAAAAGTGTAAAACCTGAAAATTTTCACAGGAGAAGTCTGATCCACATAAATTCCTGATATCAGAAAACCAGCTTGCTAAAACAAAACTATTCTATTTTTGTATTTAGAAAACAAAGTTAAAATGCCTTTTTTTAAAAAAAAGGGCCTTTTGAGGAAGAAAATGTTAATGATCAAAAAAGCCAAAATAAATAGTGTATATATCACACAAAACTTTTATGTGTAGTCTAATATGCACATATCACTTGGGATAGCTTCTCCCATTCCTTCTGGCAAAGAAGCCTAACAAAGAGGGGCATTGATTTCACAGGCAAAAGACAAAGTTATAAAAATGTCAGAAGAGCCAAAATATCATGTTCAGTTTTTTCCCACCAGTAATTTGAAAATTATCAAAATTTCCAATTAACCTTGTAAAGCAGTTCTGCCAGTTACTATAGCCAATTTATATTAGAGATTGCTGGGAAGATTAATTGAATTTTTAAAAAAATATTAACTGCCCTTTTCTGCATCAAAAATACTTCCTCACTTTTTAAAAACAATGAAGAATTTAATCTTTCCCACCTGCTCCTGTGGAGAAATACATGTCACAAAATAAACATAATTTAAAACAAGAGTTTTTTCTCCTTACTGGAAAAATAAAACCAAATCTGTATTTCTGTTTCAAATAGAGCTTCTGAATATTGGAGAAATGTGGTTATAACTTCCTATAAATATTTTCATGTCGGAGAAAAGGTATCTAGGAGAGTAACATAAAGGAGGCTATTTTCAATGCAGCTACCAGAATGAGGCAACATGCAATTTGAAGGAAGGCCTTGTTGAGTATCAGGAATCTGGTAGCCAAATGCATCCAACAGGATGAATTTCTTATCTCTTGATAGCATTCTATCACATTAGAGCTATTTGTAATTTACAGAGACTGTCTCCTAGGTTGGATACTTTGTGTGAAATTTCCCAGGATGCTGGTTTTGTTACACTTGAGAAAAGCAAACATAATACTTTTATCTGCACAATTTCCCTTTCTTCAGTAGTGTGTCATTTTAAGATTCCTTTTTTGCCGAGTCAAATCATTGGTCCATCAAGCCCACTATGTTATTCTGATTTTCAGCATCTACTCAGGATCATACAGAACCTTTCCTCAAATAAAATTTACATGCTCGGAAAATGTAGGACTACAAAATTCTGACCATTTGTCCAACTAGTCCAGTACTGTCTGCTCTAACTTGAAAAAGCTCTCCATGATCACAGTCAGAAAAAAAAACTTTTCCCCAGCCCAGGTACCCAATAACTTGTAAAAACAAGACTAAAGATGTCAGAGACTGAACCTGTGTCCATCTGCATGCAAAACATTTGTTCTTACACTGAACTGAGAGCTGTATTTTTCCCCTGGGCTTTCTTAAAGCAAGGTGCAGACTAATTCCAAGTTGAAACCAAACTAGAAATTCATGATGTTGACAAGTCCAGCAGAAAGAATTTTTCCATTTGCCAGGTACAACTCAGATGCTGAGTAGCAACACTGGAAGGAAGACATGACAGGCATAGTCCGATCTCTGATACTTCGCCACCTGGGCAAATAATGTGGTTCAAGCTACAGATTTCTTTGGGGAAGAAAAAGTTAATAGTAGCACTCCCTTACAATGGGGAGTGAAATCATAGGTTGCTGGCAGCAAGACATTTGGGGTGGCCTATTTGTGGTCCCCTTCTGGCCCTGCCAGAATGTAATGATCATAGGGCCTTCCCCTCACTACGTCCCAAGAGGCAAAAAGGTGATATTTCCTTCCATGTCAAGACATGATTGTGCATCAGTCAGGCTGTCTCTCCTTGCCAACTCAACTGGATCTGCTATGGAACCACTATCAGTCTGTGAAAGTGTTCTTTGGTTGTCAAAGTCCAATGCTCCCTTTTGTTTGATCAGGGCATTTCTATGGGGGCTGCCCAATTTGTCTGTTGGAGAAGGCAATGGCTCATTTGCAGATTCTGAATCATCAGTTGTCCCCAGGGTTTTGGATTCACTATTATCCTCTTCCAGAGGGCTCTCAACCTCTTGTTCAATATCTGACTCTTCTCCATCTTCCTCCTCCAAAGTAAGCTGAAACTTGAATTTTTCTGGGACTCCTCCATTTTTCTCTAAGCCTGATGCATCTGGGGGAGGTGAAGGACTATGTGGAATCATGCTCTGATACCATTCCCGGTTGTCTTCTAAAGTATCCAGGATTTCCTGGGCATCAGGATGAACTAAATCAGCCCAGGTTTCCCAAAGTGGATGGGCAATATAATCAATGAATCCCACCTGGCAGAAGAAAAACAACACAGAATGTCATATATGCTAGGGCAGACATTTTGTTGCCCTACATTTTATAAGTCTGTATCTAATTCCCCCTCCAGTCCCAGTTCTGCACTTGCAAAAAACATAGGTGTATAGGCAAAATATCCCTGACTCAAAATGCCCCTGACTGTGGGTACCTATGCCCTCTCCCTTTCATTCAAGATGTGTTTAAAATTATTGTTGGCTATGCTGTTCCCCAAAGCATTTAAATTCATTTGTGCTTGGCTTTGTATTTTATTTCACTTTAGTATAAAAATTCTGACTAGGTTTTTTTTCAAGGGCCCCACCCACATTTAAAGGACTTTCATCCCTGTGCCATCTATATGCTTGGAGTTTACTAGCAGAGTCACCTGAGATTTTTCTATGGAGGCATTGTGTTTGTCACACATTGGGCTAATCTCCATGCCCTTCTCCCGCTCTCGATCTCCTTGGTGGAAGAATTCTATCATGATTCGGTCTGTCCATTGGCGATAGAGCTCTAGTGGCTTTGTAGGGTTGCTGAGATCTGCACAGTGTACAATATTCTGCAAGACCTGTGGAGGAGAACAATTACATGACATTTACACTAGAACTACATCTGTAATCAACGTACCAAAGAAGAAATATCATTGGAGGTCTTATCTTCACAACTAATAAGTTACAGTACTTCAATTCTTCTATTTTATTAATAATATTTAATAATTAAGTTTATTTATACATCTCATTCATTTCTTTCTCTGCCTCTCCTCTTTTCTATTGCTTTTCTTAGCACCAAACTCAGACAAATCTGTAAAGAATATATCTTAAATTGATTCACATCTTCCTTACACTATCTAATAATACCTTTGAGCTTAATAGCAATAATCAGCTGAACAAGAGGACCCCAATACAAATATAATTGATATCCATGGTTTTAATAATTAACAGCAAAATCTTGAGCTCAGCTCTAACTTTGTTTAACTGTGAATTGAGTTTGGAACTCAACTTCTGTTTGAAATTTGCTCTTCTCCATTTTATCCCTGCTCCTCAGTGCCTCACCTGAATGCGGTCTGAGTAGTTATCCAAAAGCAGGACCCCCAAGCTGGTGACTTTCTTGGTCTCTACCATTGTCTTCAGATCAGCCAGAAGATTCATATGTTTTGACATATCTGTTGCCAGGACCTGTTTATAAACCCCCCACCACAAAAAATTATTTCTCTGTTTGTCTCTCTCTCAAGAATACTAGAAAGAAGAGACAACACACATGTAAGAAACAAAGTACCAATTTCCAAACAAAGTTCAGATAAAGTTGCACATAGTATTTTCAGAAAAAAAGGCTTTGATATGTCTGCAGGCATACGTACATGCATTCATGCATACCCACCTTAGCAAAGCAATGTTACACAGAGTAAAGAAAAGTAATAAGAAATAGGAGGAAGCCAAAGAAATTAAAGGCATGAGATGAGAAAAAGAAAGGGAAACCTTGCTAAAACTTTACACGATTACTATACTAGAATACTAGAATACTAGAAATCTCTCCATACTTTTCTGTTCTTGCAAATCTTCCTTTTTTTAAAATAAATTTTATTAACAATTTTAAAGAGAACATAAAAACTAACACCAACTAATACAAAATAGAGAGAACAAAGAAAAAAAGTCAGGAAGGAAAAAGAAAAAGTGCAGTGAGAAAGAATAAAAAATAGAAAAAAGAAGCTTCCAATTTTCTCTGCAGCAAATATATGCATAATTACAAAATTATCTCATATAATGATAACAAAAAAGCTTACTTTTTTCTATTATCCTTTTTTTTTTCTTCTAATCATCAAAACCACAAGTCATAAGTGTATTTTTTCTCTTTCATGCAAAAAGCCTGTAAGGGATTTCCAGTCAGCCATAAATGTAGCTATTGTCTTTTCTCTAATTAAGGATGTTAATTTAGCCATTTCTGCAAGTTCCATCATCTTCACCAACCATTCCTCCATTGTGGGTAGTGCCGAGCCTTTCCACTTTTGAGCATATAATAGTCTCATTGCAGTTGTCATATATAAAAAAAGTTATATATGACAGCTAAGGTGGGTATGCATGAATATAAAAGTTCCATGACTTTTTTCTAGTTGTCTGTCCATTAGTCCCAAAAGAAGAGTCTCTTGTTTCAGCTGTACTTTAACCTTTAAAATCTTCTGAATTAAGGCATGTATTTATATCAATTTTTTTTTTACTTTTTTACAGGTCTACCAAACATGATAAAATGTCCCTTCATGTTATTCACATTTCCAGCAAGATTCGAAATACCTTTATATATTCTCGACAATTTCTCTGGTGACAAATACCAACAATACATCATTTTATAAAAATTCTCTTTAAGGCTGGAGCATAATGTAAATTTCAGTCCTTTCAACCACATATTTTCCCATTCATCCATTTGTATATTATAGCCAAACATTTTAGCCCATTTTATCATACATTCTTTCACTTATTCTTCCTCTGTCTCATATTTCAGCAAAAGTTTATACATTTTAGCAATAACATTTTCATCATTAGTACATAATTTTATTTCAAACTTAGTCTTACTTTGTTTAAAACCATAAAATCTTTTATCTACTTTAAACTTTTCTAATAATTGTACATAAGAAAACCATTGACAAGTATATCCTTCTGTTGTCAAATCTTCTCTTGATTTCATTTTACAATCCCCTTGAAAGAATTGTAGTACATCATGATAAGTTAACCATTTATGTTTACTTATCATTTCTTGTCTATAAAATGCTTCTTGTGCTAAAAGCCACAAAGGTGTTTTTGGGCAAAACCTAAATTTATATTTATTCCATACTCTAAGGATGGCCTGCCTGACATAATTATTTTTGAAATCTACATTAACCTTAGCTTTGTCATACCATAGGTATCCATGCCATCCAAATCATGTCCTTCTAACTTCAATAGCCTTCTATTTTTTAACAACACCCACTCTTTCATCCAAACTAAACAACTGGCAGCAAAGTATAATTTCAAATCTTGTAATACAAGTTCTGGGTTTAGTTGAGGATTCATATACAAAACAACTCCATTTCTCTTCTTAATATCTGCTGAGATAAATTCTTGACTCAAAGTTTTATAGGTCAAATATTTTATATATTTTTTCCTGATATGAGTCTCTTGCAGGCAAATAATATCTTGCTTTGATTTTTCCAAATAATGAAATATTTTTGCCTCTTCTGTGGAGCATTTGCTCCATTTATATTCCATGTGAAATATTTGAAATCCATATTCAGGCCAAAAATTTGGAAAAGTCCATGTCTGTAGCACCTAATTCAGTTATCATCTTTTGGTTCCTGCTGCATCTGTTGTGATGGTTGTGTAGGTCTCTCCAAAATCTCCATTTCCCTCTCCTCCAATTCTCCTTTACATTTTTCTAAAAAATTTCTTACCTTCTGAACAGAATTCAGTCTAAATCTTTGCTGTTTATAAGTAAAAATCACATCTTCCAGTTTATCCCATTGAAATGAGATCTTTTTCTGTTTTAATTTTTCAGCCAAGAATGAATATTCTTTTCTCTTATGTAAAATTCTAATAGGAATCTCTTTCAAAACAATTATGTCTGTATTATCCATTTTCAGTCTTGTATTAAAATGTTGCTGCAGGACCTGATCCCTTATCTTCTTTCTGACAAAGTGCACCAAAATATCTCTAGGGACATTCCTCATCCTGGCAAATCTGGAATTTATTCTATAAATCTTATCGATTTCTGCTTCCATATCTTCTTCTAGATCCAACAAATTTTCCAAAACATTAATAAGCCGCTCTCTTAATATTTTCTTCTGGAATCTCTGGAACAGCTCTAAATCTCAAACAGAATTTTTCTCTCTCAATTCCAGTAAAGCCAGGTTACCCAATTCTCTTTCCAATTCTCTGTCTTGAACTTCTGACTTACTCGCCAAAATTTCCACTATATCATTAATTTGCTTTATCTCTCCAGATACTTGTTTTATAGAATTTTCCAGCTTTTTAACATCTTCTCTCATCTCCTCTCTTAGCTTTACAAATCTTTCATCCATTCTTTTTTCAAAAGTATCCAGTTTATTTCCCATTTGCTCAAAAAATTTCTGAAGTATATCTTGTGTAATTATTTTTTCTGTAGGTTGCTCTAGTGAGCCTCTTCTGTCCTCTCTTGCCATCTTTCTAGTAGTCATTTTTAATCCAAAAGCAAAAAAGTCCCAAGACAGCAGAATAAAAAGACAAGCCTCTGCCATTTATTTCCTTGTTAACTTCTTGTTTCAAACACTTTCACTTTAGTAGCTCTCAGTGACCTCCACAACAAGGGTCACATCTCCATGGCAATGAAACATCAGTCTGTCTGTGCCTTATCTTTTGTTATGCAGATTCCATCAATCACACAGACTCTTTAAGGATAGCTAGCAATTAGAAAAATAGGAAGGAAAAAAAGACTGTTCTCTTATCCATTTTAAAAACTTTCTTATATCTTCTCTTAATTGAGCTTTTTGCAAATAGTTCTTGAATCTTTAAATCAAAGTCTCTCTTGGGCTTTTTTTGTAATCTTGAAAAGAGTTAACCCACTGCAAGGAATCTTATCTTCACTGCAGAGGAAATCTCTCTTCATCTGTAATTAATTACTTTCCAAGGTGATTAAGAAGTGGGGAGAAGCAAGACTGTAATGTCCATATGGCTCCACTGCAGTTACGAGCATAGATAGAATTCCAGGTCTCCTGGCAGCTGAATCCACAAGCCAGCTGCAAAAACTTTTCAATTTCTGTAATTAACTCAGAAGGAACCACTGTCCAGAGAACACATGGTTTATCTTTTGGTCTTTTTTTGATCCAAGAAGATTGTGCTGGCCAGAAATTGCCTCCCAGTCTGCATTCTCAGCTGCGATGACTCTCCGCACTTTGGAGAGTGTCAGTCTGCCATTTTTCCCCACCAGAAACTCTGCAAATCTTCCTTGCTTCCACCACATTCATCCACTGCTTCATACACTGCACTCTGTTCTTTAAACTTTTCACTGCTCTTTTTCATGTTCTTCATTTGCATGCCTTATAAGTTCTCCATCCATTTCCCCATATTTAATAAACATTTAATCAAGACATAGATTCATATATATTTGTTTTAATTTTTCACCATTTAGGTATAATTAACAATATTTACTCCATATTCCCTGTCAAAGACAACTACCCTGTTCTTTGATACATTAATTTTCAGATCCATATTCCTTGTTGCATCATACAGTCTCTCTACCATTCACTGCAAATCATTCAGGTTCTTAGCAACAACATAGCATCATCCTCATATAGAAGTATATGTATATTCACACCCACAAACAACATTGCTCTAGCATCACCCATTAGCATTCTTTAACAGTTATCAATATAGGTAGTTCTCACTTAATGACCACAATTGAGCCTGGAATCGTGATAGTTGAGCGAAGCGATAGTTAAGTGAGACGCCCACATGACTGCTTTGCTCAATGACCGCAATCCAGGCACTCCCAGCTGAGGTTGTTAAGCAATCTCCTGGGTCGTTAAGTAGATGGAGCAAAAAGGCTGCCTGCTGAAGGATTTCAGCTCTGTGCAGAGCTGAAATCCTCCTGGCAGGCAGCCCTTTCGCTCTCAAACCTTCCTGCAGCCCACCAAAGTGTTTTCCCTTCCCTCCATGCATGGAGGGGAAATCCTTCATCAGGCTGCAGGAATGGACCTCAAATCTGAAGATTTCAACTCTGTTCCTGCAGCCCACAGAAGGATTTCAGCTCCCCTCCATCCCCTCCACTTGCAACCTTCCCTGTTGGCTTCCCCATTGACTTTCTGGGGAAGCTGGCAGAGAAGATTGCAAATGATGATCATATGATTGTGAGATGCTTGGCAATGAGTTGTAAATGCAAGCTGGTTACCAAGTGCCCAAAATGCCCAAAATGCAGCCACGTGACCATGGGGGGGGGGAGGAGTGCAATGTTTTACGATGGCTGGAAGTGCTTTACAGGCCATAAAGCACCCTTTCTGAGGCCATTGTAACTTCGAACCATCGTTAAATGAACGATTGTTAAGTGAGGGCTACCTTAAAATACATTACATAATCAAGGGAACAGCACACATCCTAATCTAACTCTCTACTCAGTGTTGAGTCATGTATTCTCATATATGCTTTACTTTCACCATACAGGTAGTCCTGGGTCAATGGCCACTCATTCAGGATGGTGCTGAACGAGTGGTACTTAGGACCAGTCCTCAAAGTTCCAGCGGTCGCAGCATCCCTGTAGTTATGGGATTGCGATTCCGGCATTTGGCAACCAGCTTGTACTTATGATGGTTGCAATGTCCTATGGTCATATGATCACCATTTACGACCTTCCCTGCCAGCTTTCCACAAGCAAAGTCAGTGGGGTTGGCAGGAAGTCCTAAGTCATTCTGGTAAGTTGCTCCTGCCGCTTTTTCCCCTGAGGAGCCTGCTACGGAGATCCCAGGGATCTTGTACTCTGTAGTATGCACCTGCTCACAACATCCCCCCACCTGCATTCCATAGCACACACCCACCTGGCCAGCTGTGCTTGCACCACAGCACCGCAAGAAGGTAAGTCAGTGGGAAAGCTGGCAGGAAGTCACAAGTCCCAGGCAGCTCGCAAGCAGGCTGGTGGGTGAGTGCTATGGAGTGTGGCCGGGCGGGGGATGGGGTGCTGCAGTGCCACACTCCATAGCACTCACCCACCAGCCTGCTTGCAAGCCGCCTGGGACTTTTGACTTCCTGCCAGCTTCCCCACTGACTTACCTTCTTGTGACAGCAACAGGGATTCCTGGAATTTCCATTACTAAGTGATGTGGTCATGTGACATCATGCTTTACGATGGCATTGCTTAGCGATGGAAATTTCAGTCCCAAATACTGTCGTTAAACGAGGACTACCTATGTACTGCTCTTGTTGCATCTTTGAAATTCCAATGTTCCCTTCAGGCTCTTTCCAAATTTCATTACTTTTATATTTAATTCCTTTTACTCTGCTGGAGGTTCCTTGTTTAGCTCTCTTCTACTTCCAATACAACTTTTATTACCATTAAAATCACTCTGCATTTTCTCTGCCTCTTTTAATCTTAACAATTCCTTGTTCTCTTGAACTATACTATGTAAGCTATCTTTTTCTGTCTAGACATATTATGTATCTTTTTCTCATGCTCATTTTTTGCAGCAGTCATCCTCTGATATGCATTTTTTCTCACTCACAGCCTCTTTCACTTGATTATTTCACTAAACTTCTTTTTTATACTTCCAATTAGTGTAACTGCACACACTTCTGTGGCACTTTGTAATACAATTCTTTTCACTCTGTTCCAAGCATCTTCCACATCCTCTTTCCTTACATACACTTTCCTTTCTGTGTAATCTATCTTTTAATCCTATTTTATACAGTTTCTGACATCCTCTTCCTTTAGTTATTCTTTCACTCTAGTTTTAGGGTTTTTTTTCTTTTTTACATGTATATTTTTCCAAGATCCACTTTTAACCTTTCTCCAAAATGGTCTGCATCACATTCAGAACTTCTCATCATCTTTGTATCCTTCACTAATTCTCTCGATCTTTTCTTGTAAACGATCAAATCAATCATGCTTTTAGATTTATATTCATTCCTTAACCATATGAATGTATGGATAGACTTATGCTTATATTTAAATCAAACAGGACTTTTTCTAAGCAGATGTTCACCAAATAATCACTGTTCCTATTAATTCTTGAGTCTCTATATGGCTGATCACTTTTTTTCTGTACCCTCCCATCTTGTTCCCATCCATCCACTCATGTCAGATAATATAATAATTTTCATCTGGATTACATTCTTTCATAGTGTTGCACATTTTCCCCAAAAACTGCTCTCTGGTTCTGATGTTATCATTGTTTGGAAGAGCGTAACATGAACTGCCATCAACACATGGATTCCTACTTTCCTATCCAACCACCACCACCACTAGATGACACCAATTCATACTTTCTGACATATATTTTAGCCTTTTAATTCATAATCATAAGTACACATCCATTTCCCATCAGGTATTCATCAGCTCTACACAAGATCCTGTTACCTTCATTCAGATCTTTTAAACCCTTCCCCTTTCTAATAGGACTCAGCCATCATCCCCCCTAATGGTGGCTTGAAGATGCTTCATTAACCATTCTTTAAGGAAGTACCCTCACAACATAATCTTCAGTTCATCTCAGCCCATAGCTGAGCCCATCTCACTTTGTATTTAGTTAATTCAATGTTACAGGGGTGTTTATCATCTTCTCCCAACCCAAGCCTTGCTGTATACAGTTTCTAGCACTTTGCGAGTGATCATGGTACTGACACAATCAGAATCTGACTGCTTTTGGCATGCTCTCTTCTCCAGTTGGTGGGCACTGCCTGCCATGACAATTTGGTTTATGTTGTGGCATGACATCTGGCTTCTGTGAGCAGCCTCCAATGTAATGCCAGTCTGGCATTTATCAAAGCACACATCAGGTCTTTTGGGGGTCCCCTGGACTGCTAGGAGGTCAAACCAGTCAATCTTAAAAGAAATCAACCCTGATTGCTCATTGGAAGGA